TAAAGAGAAGACGGCCTTCTTAACACTAGGTGGTCTCTTTGAGTTTAACGTTACGCCCTTTGGTTTCTGCAGTGCTCCAGCGACATTCGAGAGATTTATGGATACAGTACTCCATGGACTAAAGTGGGAAATTTGCATGTGCTATTTAGATGACGCGATTATCTACGGCAAGACCTTTCAAGAGCAGAACCACCGCTTGTCGCTTGTTTTTGAATGCTTACGCGAAGCTGGCTTTGTTTTAAACTCAAAGAAGTGCCATTTCGGAGAACGTCAAGCCCTCGTATTAGGCTTTCTCGTGGATAAAGAAGGCGTGCGACCAGACCCAGAGAAGACCGCAGTGGTTCGTAACTTTGAACCACCACGAACAGTGAAAGACCTGCGAAGTTTTCTGGGTCTGTGCTCATATTTCCGCCACTTCATGAAGAACTTCGCACAACTTGCCTCCCCACTGGCGTACCTTCTTCATAAAGACACACCGTAATTGTGGGATGATAAATGTGAGGCTGCAATTTAACAGCTGAAGTCTTTATTGACTTCAGGACCTATCCTAAAGCATTTTGATCCTGATGCTTTGACTGAACTTCATACAGAGGCTAGTGTGCTAGGTGTTGGTAAATAATAAAATAAATAAATAAATAAATAAATTTATTGTTTTATTTATTTACTTCAAAATACACCACAAGCCTCTGTTGAGGCATTGTTAAATGGGGTTGGTACAAAAAGTACATTTCAGTGCCGTTCAGAAAATACAGCATGCGTGAAGAGCATTCATGAACCAAATAACAAAGCGCGGTGCAATGGAAAGTAGTTCTGGTAACAAAAATGAAGTCACACAACTCTCTAAAGTAAAGCGTATAGTAGGAAAATAATGACCGTAGGTATTTTCTATAAAGTAACGCAGTCACGCTAAATGGACATTTTATACAATAAAGGAGTTCACACAAGAAAAAATTTGACCGGTATCCGCATGTTACACGGCAAATGTCGTCGAAAGACCATAGTCTTGCGTCTGGATAGAGTGAATAAAATGTTTTTTAGATGTTCTGCGCAATAAAATCGGTGAATGGTATTCTGGAGGCGCTGCGTTAGAGTGCCTCGAGCGTGCAGCGGAGGTGAACCATTGCATCAAGTCATGTCACACGTGAGACATGAGCGCTATCTGGCAGTTATCCGGGAAATTGGGGGGCGCCGTGCGCGCCTTTCTCTGGGGTGATAAGGTGAAAAATTCAAGGCGAAGGGTAGGTGCCACCACCGTGTAGTCTTAGCAAAGCGTTGGAAACAATTGCCGTTTTGTGCAAGTGCTGCATGGCCAGCGCAGCGTTTTAGTGGCTACAATCCTTAAAATTACTTATGTATGCCTTTCTAGTAAAAGATGCACATACAAAATATTGACGTGTTGTTATAGTGCCTCAGACATGCGCAATAATTGCTTTTCAATTGACAATCGCACAAGTATAAACGCTGATTCTTGACCAATATTTGTGGGCGCTGTGGATGGGGTTGGCCGTTTGGAGTATCGTTTGGTCACTTTGGTGACCATTAAGGGTACTGTTAAGGGTGGACAAACACACAAAAACAGAGATCAAAATTATTGCTTCTAAGGTACCTAAAAAAGACTTGTCTTTAAAAACCGAAAACATCTAGACTATAGTGCTATAGGTTGATAAATTAAAAAAACAATAAATAACGATTACATTCACACAGAGGGCGTACTGCTGTAATGGCATATTGCTTTGGTACATTCACTCTAAGGCAAAATTACCCGAAAAAGGAGTAACGGAGCCCAATCGGCGCGCGCGATGAACGAATGGACCGTTGAAGAGCAACCACAGAGGGAAGCATGCTGCGCGAAACCACTTAGTCTCCAAAGGGGTTGAACCGCCCGGCGATTGCAGGAAGCGTGAAAAGCGTTGCCAAGGTGACTAGCCATATTTCTCCGCAGAACACATGTCCTTCTCTGCCTCTGCTGGCTCAGTCTTTCACCGTATTTTGCCGGCGACGGATCGCGCGGCGTCGCACTCGGAGTGCTTGACCACGGCCGCCTAGATTCGACGATCTAAGAATTACGACGTGGTGCTTGTGTGTACGCTTTGATGAGCGGGGGCTGCTGCTTTTGCGTTTCGCTGCACCCATGAAGTCTGGAGCAAGTCTCGACATGTCACAACGCCGCGCTGTATATCTCTGGCTTCAAGATAGTCACGACCAACACACAACAGTAACTGTTGGGAATGCCAATATGGCGGCCGAGAAGAACAAGCCTATCGGGTATACACTTCAGTCCGACTCGGGGTAGAAAACAGCGTTGGATTATAAGGCAAGTAGGTTATCATTCTTTATTACACTCTACTTGTGGCGTGTGCGACACGAATCGCGCTTGCCGGCAACGGGCTCGGTCGTGTTGTATATCGCACGCACGAAATGCATCGCGGTCAGCTTCGGCGTCTGCAGTTCACCTGTGCTTTGCGACAGCCTGGAAATTGGCCACCATTGCCATCGGCTTCCCGTACGCTCGCTCATCGAGTACTCGCCTGTCTCGCCGCCGCAATGAGCTCCGGGCTGACGATAACGGGCTGAGACCTCGTCGCTGTGTTGGCAGTCATCGAAAACACGTTGCGGGTTCTCGTAAACAGCTTGGTTGTAGTATGTCACGCACTGTAAGTGCACCAGCACGGGCTGGCGGGGCTTTCGCTAGCGTCGGAACCCACTGAAAATTGGTCGCCATTACAGCCGGTCGCAAGCAGCTCGGTGCCGTCCGCTGGCCACGGCAGCGGACTCGCGTTTGCGCGCTGCACTCGCTCGAGTTTGTGGAAAAGGGCCGCATTACCGTTGGTTTCTTCGGCGCTAGCTCTAAACCAGCTAGGCGCTGTTCGTGGCGGCGGCCAAGCGTACGCCCGCTCTCCTGTTCGAAGTACGCCTGTGGCAGACACTCTGCGTGCAACGCCGTGTTTGGTCTCGCGTTCACTCGCTCGAGCTTAACGACGTCGCTTGCTTAGGACTCGCGGACTTGTTAGTGGCACGGAGGTGCGTGGAGTTGTGGCTGCGGCCGCCGCTCCTAAGCTGTTGCGCTACAGGGATCGAAATGAGTCTGACGATGTGTGACATCACGGTGAATTTATTAGCATGTCATATCTCACGTATCTTTTCATTTCACCTTGCACGTATTTCTCATATGCACTTGTATTCATCCTCCGTCACGTGTGACTCACTATTTTACATACTTATTGTGCAGCCGTGGGCACACAACGTGCTGAAGACTGTTCGCTGGCGTCTGCGATGTCTGTCATCCATCTCTTTCATCAGACCAGCTTCAGAAGGACTGTGCGAGATGTGAAGGTAAAGTTATTTGTGTGTCATATATTGACACTTGTTTTTATGTTAACTTGCACGTACTTCTCATATGCATGCATCTTCATCTGTCACGTGTGTAACAATTTTTACTATATTTTTGTACGTGCAGCAGTGGGAACACAACAGGCAGAAAGCTGCGTGCGTTGGCGTCTGCAATGCTTGCCTATCGCTGCCGTCGGAGGATCTCTTAAGAAGTGAACAAGAATTGACAACGAGACTGGACTGGTACACTTCACCATGATTTCACCTAAAAGAATGGAGAAACTTCATGCGTATCTAGAAAAATAAAAGATTTCGATATCTCACTTTGGTCGTTCGTTGTGGCCGTGACTGCGAAAGCAGTTTTACATAGGCGGCTAACTAGTTTTTCGCGTGTTCTGTTCTGCGCAATTTGTTGCTCACTGCGCAGAAAAACAGGCGAAAAAATTATTAGGTCTGGCGTAAAATAAACAAAAACAGTGTGGACTGGGGACAAAAAGTTCATCCGATTGGAGTATTTGAGTGGATCAACCATTCGTCCAACAAGGTGCAACTGTGAGGACTAACGATTGCCCGGTAAGGTGTAAATGTGGGGATTAAGTTGCTCTATAATGTGCAAATGTGAGGACTAAATGTTAGTCCTTTGAGGTGAATTGTGGCACTATTGGTTACTCACTAAGGTGTAAATTTGAGGACTAAATGTTAGCCCCTTGAGTTTGTCTGTGTGGACAACTGTCGGACCCGGTGCCGTAAGTCCTTAAAGGTATTAATGGTTTTGGCAGCCCCATTAATCCCCAAAAGGACGGACCACACACCCTTTTAACACCATTTTGCCTTGGAGTGTTCCGCGAGGCATTGGCCAGTTATCTGACCAAAAAAGCGCAGTATTGTCAAATTATGTGACGCTCTCTGGCAAGGATTTCTAACATTCGACAGCACGTGGTTTTTTGCTGAGCTGTCGGATGCACGTGTTGATCCGTAAATGCGCGAAGAGTTAAAAATGGCTTGCCGATGAAACCCGGAGCGATCGGCTCTGAACGTTTTCATGACCTCGCCTCCGCTATTATTTGGGAGCATTCCACGTAGACTTTTTATACGAATTGTTTATGAATTTGCGCCCTAATAACTCGAGCAGGCCGGCAACGCTGAGCGCGCGCGACGTACGGCACCCAACTGTTATCTGACGTCATGCACGATAGGGTCCCCTCAAAGCGACAGTAAAATTGATTTATTCAAAGTAGACAAGGTAAGTATTGGCAAATAATAATGTAGATTTTTTGTCGAGCCTGGTGGCACATATTTCATTGCCCTGTGACAAGGGGACGCTCATAGCGGCCACCGAACACATGTGCCACTGCGCGAATGATTAACTTTCTGATTCACCATGCTATTCAACAGGTTCAAATTATGTTAACGACACCATCCTCGCAGAAGTGTCTTCTTTAGAAATACACAGTGCTTCAAAGACAAGGACGTGCGCTGGCCCTTGTTCACGAACACCTTGTTCTCGCCTGATGTGTTGGTGTACTTTTAGCGTTATATATTCTAATGGGCCTGTATGAGTGAGCTCTCCTCAACACCCTCTTTAGTCACCCAGTCTCTTTTGTTAGGACGGTTAAGTGAGCCCCAATTGTTCACTAAACAAAGAGTTTAAATTGTGTTAGGCGTCTCACCTGCAAGTTCCTCTCCGTTGATGTCTACCCCTGCAGGATAGCCCATCTGCCGGCCAGCCTCCACAAACGCAGCAGCAACAGGAGTGTGGTATGGCGCCCGCATCACCGAAAGGAGCCCAGCAGTCCCGTGATGACCTATGACGAAAACGTGTATCAAAACTCACGGCCTACACATTCCTCCCAAGGTGACATAGATGACCAACAACGATGCTAGCTTGTTGACTTTGTCAGCCAATCATCTGAATAATGACCAAAGGATAGTTTGCATCGTGTGTGCATGAGTTTATGTTACCAAACGAATAGCTTGCATTGCAATACATGTTGCGTAAACACGGGTTTCACTGTTATTCGTGACTGATTTCTGCCTGCGCTTTGACTTCTGTTTACTTCTTACATTTTCGCATCGAACTTGTTTTTGTTTTTGAGTTAAATGTAAACTATTTGAAGGCGTTTGAGGTTCACCTTCAACAGTAGGTTGTGATAGTGTGGTTCGGCTTCATGCGCATTGACTTCTGAACTGCTAACCTGCTGCAGTTCTCAGTGCATGCCTTAACCGTGTCGTAAGGAAATGAAAGTATCATTGACTGCCTATTGGAAGCACAGTTAAGTGACCATTACGCCATCATCATTACCGTTGCAATTTAACAAAGGGCCACCACACGTCCGTAGAAAAAACGTGAACCCAACGCAGCTGTTCATTTTGTTGATGGTTCTGCTGCAGCTAATCGTTAAATATGTCTTAGTGGCTTCTAATGAGCAGACTTTTAAAACACTAACTCGTTACTCAATTCACATTATTGGACGCCTACACAGTGCGCGTATACGCTTCTGCCACACAATATTCGCAATGTACATAGACTGTCGCGCCACCTAGCTGAAATCAGGAGCGTCTTCTCAAGGATGATCAGCAGGCAGATGCTCCCAATGACCCCTTGTTCGGCGGTGCTAGTTGACGCGTTAGCAAGAAACTAACACAAACCATTTTGTATGTTTCGTGGATCAGTGCATATACCGGACCATCTGTGGCACGATATATCTGATTCGTTCTTGCGAGACGCGAAGTTTTCGTGAAAATACGTGGCAACTCATGCTTTCGATTATAGACAAATTCCACCAGACTTGCGTCACGAAAATGCGGTGGCGCTCTCTTGGTAGGCAAAAAACACTCTGCCTACCACAGTTTCTGCTGGGTTTTCAATGGTGCATGCGGTGTTCTCAATCAAGCAACGAGAAAAAAAACTATGTCGACGAGCTGCGTGGCAGTTGGATGTGAGTCGCGTCGCACAAATCAGTTCTGTTTGTTAGCCCACATCGCAGCCTTCGGCGCTTATGGCTTTCAGAACGCTCATGGCGTCTGACAACGTCGTTTTGTTGGCGCACATCGCAGCCCTCAGCTCTTATGGCAGAAGTTACGTGCGGACGTCACTATTATTTGCCCATATTGTCGACGACGGCCTACCTGTATTTACAAACATGGAATGGGTCTGTAGCCCGCAGAGTATACGTATCAGCTTCGCGAAATTTTATGCAGCCACTTTGATTAGTTAAATGTTATTGTCTAACCTTTACAGTTGAAACTCACCTTGTTTTACGTGCGTATAGCATTCGTCAGTGCTTTTGTAGCGCGTGAATCTGACAACAATTAATGCACGCGGAAAGTAGCGCAGGCGCGCGATTTGCGTTTCTAAACCATGGCCTGCGCTGCGCTGCTTGTTTCTTACGTTCTTTGATAGATGGCCGCACGCTGAAAGCGATTCCTTTCTTGCCAGATATCGGAGCAAAATGTTCTCCGAACCCTCAGATAAATGGCATGAGTGACGTCATGTGGGTGTTGTGCATGGTGAATGACGTGTTGTTGGTGCTATCGAAGTGTTTTAGGGGAGAGAATTCCTCAGATTACTTTCATCAGTGATGTTCAAAAAAACGTCTTGACGTCGAGGATTTTTCACGTATATGACGTGTACAGTTGTCAACGCCCTGAGAGTGATAATGGCGATGAACTATCAGCTGCTAGCTCACAAGCATTGAGTTGCACTTCACGTTCCGTCGTGCGTTATTGTTTTTTTGCATTGTATAATATCCTTCAGCAAACTCAAAATAAAAACAGTTTTTTGTGCATTGAATGTATCCCTATTACACTAGATATTACTCAGCTCTGCATACCGCCAACACGCTCGAGCTCGACCAGCGAAGCGGAATAGACCAATGAAACATGCAGTTACGACTACAGTCCACGTTAACTTCTCCTGCACTTCACCGGAGCCGCCCAAACGACGCTGTTCGACAATTTTTTGCAATTTCGACGTTGCGAAAAGCAAACATGTGTAGCTATCTTTGTTTCGATTGCACTGATGGAACCTGCAACATCCTGGTGCAGGAATTTGCACACTTTTAGGGTCTAATCATGGCTGTCACACAAGCGCTACCTAATGGGAAGGTAAATGCTTGTGTTTCGTTGAAGAAGCAGCTGCATGATGCCTACAGCACGAGTAATGATAGCGTTATATGTTTACAAACCAATCCCTAAGTTGAAATTTCGGTCCTATGCAGCTGCGATGACGCGCCACTCGCTAGTGGCATCCTACTGCGGAAAATCTACCAGACAGGCTCGGCACAAATGATCTCGAAGTGCCGTTCGGTTCATACGTGAAGTCGAGTTCACGCAGTTTTCTGTAGCACGCACAGGATTACGCAAAGCATCGTTGATACATGGTCGATCAGCTGGCACCTACCACCCTTTGCACTGCGGTAAGAAATCAGGTAGCGGACATTCAGCAGTTCCTATTGGCTGCGAAAGTATTTTGGTTCGATATACAATGATTTGACTATAAAGAGTTCATCCGTTGAAAGCGGCACGGGGAGTACGTTCGTGGGTATTATCTTTTCTTATGCGAGTTCACGGGTTGATCATCCTTCCGCAGCCATCTTGGATTGCACGGCGCGCCCCTCTATAGGCTGTGGGCATTGCGAATATTAAGGACACTCTTCCCACTGCATGAAATTTTTTATGTAACATCGAATATGAAATGTGAAAAAATCCTCACGAACAGGTTGAAAACAAAGATCCCTAAATGCGTAGGTGTTTATGAAACACGTCAAATGCGAACCCGTTCTTTTTATTCATATGAATATTCAAATAACGTGATCAGTCCACTATGTTGATTGACTTGTAAGGTTTCACATCCCAAAACCACCATATGATTATGAGAGATTCCGTAGAGGAGGGCTCCAGAAATTTCGACCTCCTGGGGTTCTTTAACGTGTACCCAAATCTGAGCACACGAGCCTACAGCATTTTCGCCTCCTTTAAAAATGCAGCCGCCGCCACCACCGGGATTCGATACCACGACCTGTGGGTCCGGAGCCAAGTACCTTAGCCACTATAGACCACTGCGATGGGGCCAGTCCGCTATATTTATGTGTATTGTTTTGTAGGCGGATCAGGTCGCTCTTCAGATTGACCTTGCTAAAGCGTTTCATAAGGTACGGCAAGAATTTTCGTTTCGACTGCTAACTCGCAGTTAGTAGATGTACTGTACAATGACATATCACTCATGAAAATGGCACTATGCGACTGTGATTTGTGCGCTTTCAAGTATAACAGAGGTTGAAGTCGTGAGGGTTGCCCGCTTTCGCTTTTACTTTTTGCTGTATAAGTCCAACCACTTTGGTTAAGTGTACTGCTCAATTCTGGTATAAAAACAGATAATAAGCCGAGAAAACAAAGTTCCAGCCTACGTGTATGGCATTTCCTTTTTTTTGTGGACAAAGCAAGTGTACAGGAAGCAGTGAACATTACTATGAATATGTGTGAAATTTCATGACCTGATGTAAATTTTAATAAACGCAGAGGAGTCTAGCTGGCCATCTGGGCTAACTCCCTCGGTGTTATCAAATATTCGTCGAAATGGGTCTCGAGTGCGTCGTCTTGGTGTACCTCTTGATAACCATCATAACAGTGGTCCTCGCTGGACGTCTGCCATAACCACTATCAGTCGAAAGGGATGAACTCGGCAAGCACGCGATCTTTACTTTTTCTTTAGGCCTACACTCTTCAACATTCTTCTTGCTACAACGCTTATTTACTTTCTACAAATATGGCACTGTGCTGGTCTACATATTCAGACATTCACAAGTTATTTCACTACTTTATTTCGAGTTCTTCATGGGAAGCCAAACGAAGAGACTTTTTTTTTTCGCTTGAAAAGGGTGGGCTTAGTTTTGTGCAGCTTATTGTACGACAACTTTTCATGCGACTTTTTTACCGTAGAAACGTGCGTCATTCTTATCTATTGCTTCCCAATGGGCATTTAAACTCCCTCAGACATCCGTACAAAAACCAAACGTTCACGTCCTAAGCAAGTGTCCATGGGACATCCTAAGGTAAAATTAAAATATTACATTCGTGTGGCTTTCTCCTGCGGACGCTGGAGAACGTATTGCGAGTACATATATATATATATATGTGACGCAGGAGGCGTGATGGCTGTACGATGAACCATTTATTTGTCTTCGTCTTCCTCCTTCTCTACCATTCCACCACACCGTTCTCGTGTGGTTCATCACACGCTTCCCCCCTCCCCCGGGAGAGACGTAGGTGTAGGGGCGGATGATATCGTTTAAGTCTCCCGACATGAACGATGTCAGTCTGGCGACCGAGTGGAGCCACGCTGCGGTCGATCTCGTAGTTAACTGCCGAAATCTTGCGTATGATCTTATAGGGTCCTTCCATTATTGCGCTGAGTTTGCCGTGGTTCGGGTGCCAGGGTGTTTCATATAGAACAAAGTCTCCCACTTGAAGCTCTAATGGAAGGAACTTCTTGTCATATATGATCTTGTTTTTCTCGTGATATGCTACTGAATTGCGGACTGCGTTTGTACGAGCTTCCTGCAGATTTTCGGTAATGCCTGGAAGAAGATAGGGATACGATGGTGTGCCATACATAAGAAAGCAGGGTGGGTAGCCTGTGACTTCGTGAGGCGTTCTATTGTACTCGTCGACAACGTCCGAGAGGAGACGCGGCCACGGTTTTCGGGGTTCATCGTTGATCTTGCATCGGAGGCGAGTAACGATCGTCTGATTAGTGCGCTCGTTTAGGCCATTACACTGCGGGCGTTGTGAGCTTGTTAAAAGC